ACAAATAATGATTATCTTATGAATTTATATTTTTTTCGCTCAGGATAATCATTATTTTTCAGTTGGTTACTTTTTTTGTGTGCCGGTGTTATCTTTGATAATAAAAATCATAAAGTAATCACTATTTTTGAGTGAAAAATCAAGGAATAATAATTTCTTTTGAGCGAAAAACAAAACACATATTAATTATTATTTTTAATTTTTATTGGTTAAACCGGAAAAATAAAAATCATTGTAGAGTACAGTAGGACGTATGAAAACAAATATCTATGTGAGTTGTAATTCTTTTGGTTAAATTAAAATAAAATAATAATGAGTATTTTCCGTTCCTGTGTTTTTCTACTGTAAAATTTAAAAACATGTGAGTTAGTCATTTTTGGTTAAATAAAAAAAAAATAATGGGGCCATTCCATGTGACTGTTGGGACATTTTACTCCAGAATGTGATCAATTGTGAATTATAACTATGTCGTCGGAACTTATACAACAGCGAAAGATATTTTTTTAACATAGAACGACAACTAATGTAGAAAAATTGCTTTAACATAAATACCAAACGATTTCTTAGTTTTACGTAACTATCATTTGAATGAATGTGACTGGTCTTTATTAGACTTTAGGGGTTAGAGCATGAACAGTTTTTTTTTGGCAACAGTAGAAGTATACAAATAGCATATTTTTTCTAAAAATTTTACCATTGCTATATAATTAAATAGTCCAACACACAAACAATTTTTATTCAAAGCTTTTTCGATGGATGTTCATTTAAAAATTTTGCATCTATTTTACATATTGAATATGTACATATGTATATTTTTTTTAATATCTTGAGCATAAAAAACAATTGATGCTTGTACCGTTTGTTATGGTGTATTGAGATATACATATGTATGCAAATGCACACAGCAACCAACTACAACACCTTGGGCAAGCAAAGTTAGAGTAGTCTAGTATTACTATCGCTAAAAACCGCTATAAGAGATTTAACAAAAAAACTTCAATTATTCGGTTTATTAGTGTGTTCTTTCCATTATTTTCTATGTCTTCTAATCGCTAATTGGAATTGACTTAAAAAAGTGTGTATATCTCATGCTAAGGCAGCCCCACGATCGAAATCTAACCTTTATCAACCCATTATTTGTTGAGTGTTGCGTGTTTCGTACGTAAACAGATCGATTTAGGGCATTCCAAACATCCATGATAATCATGTCTAGAAAAATTTGTTATTCTGGATCAATGCAATTTAGCATGATTTTTCTATAAAAAATTTTCGAGTATACTTTACCTGGAAAAAAATGCGTATAACCGACAACAAAAAAAAAAATAAATATTAGA